CGACGACGACGACGACGACGGTGACGACGACGGCGTCATTGAACCTTCGGAGGGTTTCCTCTCGCTAGAGGGAAAAGCTCTCCCAAAGCTTTAAGCTGTGTGCCTGCCGGACTACTGGCGTCGACGCTTAACCTTTTCATTGATCATCCCTACTCCTACTCTTACTCCCACTAGCAGCATCATCATCATCATCATCATCGTCATCGTCATATTCATTTGTCCACGATTAACGATTATCGATAATTTTTTTTTAATAATTCGATTACATTTGTTTGTTTCATTAAAAATCATCGATTTTTGGTATAATTGTTGAAACTCTCCCTTCGGAGAGTAACTTTGTTATAAGAGAGTGTATGTGTGTGAGAGAGAGAGAGAAAGAGAGAGAGAGAGAGAGTAAGGTGGGGATGAGGGGGAGAGGAGGGAAGGAAGTAATTCAGCTCTGGATATGCAAGCTGAATATGTAATCAATTAATTAAAACTAATAACATACTTGGCCCACTTTGCATCCATGGGTTTGCATATTCGTCTCGCTGGACTTTCTTACGACCCCACGACCTCACGTACGCGTGATGGTAAAAAAAGTAAAAAAAGTAAAAAAAGAAAGAAGATACTGCAATAAGTGTGAACTTCGAAATAAAGAAAGGAATCGTAGTTGTACGAGACTTACAAACTTGCATTTTACTTAAGACTATTTTTTTGTTTTTGTATTTCAATGAATAACTATACGATTATTATAGTAATAACGTTTATCGATCAATGTTATTCTTCTAATAGATCATTATAAAATGATTCGTTTGCTATTATTATACTAGTTTACTTACGAAGAATATATTATATATGGAGAGAGAGAGACAGGGAGAGGAAAGTTTCGTATGTGGAAACTCACAGTGGTAGGATAGGTATATATAGTTATGTATATATGTGTGGATGTGTGTGGGTGTTTGCGGGTGTGTGTACACAAGCACTACGCTAGAACGTGTAGCTTACACGACCAACGTGTTCGCGTGAGTTAATCTTCGAGTGCGTATGTTTAATGCGATACCTACTAGAAGTAATTCGAGAAGCGAGCCCTTCGTTGCAGATAATCGAGTGGAGAATTATATTTATGTATATAAAGTAGCCCCAAAATTATAGTTCATTATTTTAAATACATTTTGTAATAATTTCAACAAAGCTTGCTATTTATTAAAAAGAAATAAAAACTAAACCAATAAGAATTTCGTTAGTCAAAGAAATAAAATATTTTTATATTTATCAAAAAATTTGATGATGGTAGTTTTTTTTAGATTGTGAGTTTTTTGAAAAAAATTCTAACACGAATAGTTGGATCGGAGTTCTTTGAAAATAAGTAAAAAGAAGAAAAAAGAAATTAGAAACCAGAGAGGAAAAGAGCAGTATAGTACCTTACAGTCGACGTATCAGCACACCTTGAACAGTCACCTTACTTACTCGACTCCTAATCGATTTTCCCATTACGCGAATCCAGGGAGCAGTTCGCGGAGGCGCACGCACACACGTACGCGAAAAGGGACATTTACGCGCGCGCGAACACCTCTTCCTCTCGCCCGCATTCTGTTTCTTCCGCGTCGTGTGTCCAGCCTGCATTTCCGTTTACGAAGGAAACACACCTTTTCCTTTTTATACTCCCTCCACTCCATATTCTTTTTCTTTATTCGGACTTAGGGAGTTCCCCTTTTTTAAACATCGTCCTCCCCTTCTTCTTTTTATTTCTTTCCTTTACTTTTCGAGTATTACCAGCGTGTCCTAATATCGATCTATGTTGAAATGCGATTAAAATTCTAAAACAATGGCCCACTTTCTCTTTTTTCAAACTAAAACAAAAGTTCATCTAATTTCTTGTCTAATTTCGATCTTTTTTTCTGATATCGATCGAATCAAGCGAGTTTTGAATTACACCCCATTGATTCTTATGAGAAAGAAAGAAAATAAAAGGGCAGAAAGAAAGAAAAAGAGAGGAAGATCCGAGATAGGGAAAAGTCGAGATAGTTGGAAGTTTGCCAAGAGAAAGAGAAACAGAAAGAGAAAGAGAAAGAGAGAACCCTGGCCCTGTTGCTTTTCTACCAAGTTCGACTAAGCTCGAGCGTTAGAATATAAGATGAGATCGAAGGAGAAAGAGTAGGAAAGAAGGGGGCATTAACGTCTTATACTTTAGTTGGAAATTCTCAAGCGATTCGTTGCGTCACGGTTACGGTTTGCTAGATCGATAGTTCGGATGAGTATTTCTATGAGCGACCACATGCGCCGCCCTCCACGTTCACCAGTTGCATCATCCCTCTATTCCTTGTCCGTTACAAGCTAATTTATTATAACAAATAAGGTAACTTTTATCAAACAACAACAAAGAAAAAAAAAAGAAAAGAAAAGGAAGAGAGAAGTTACAATCTATATGGAAATAGTATAAATAATTGTTGAAGAAAAAAAAAAGTATATCGTTACTAAGTTTACAATTAACTTATCAAGAAAGTTTCCTATCTTTCTCTCTCTCTTTCTAACGGTTTAGATATCAACCTAACTATTCATCGTCTCTATCTTCCTCACTCTTATTTTAGGTGCGGTACATTTGATTTAAAGAGGCAAAAAGGTCTCTTTTCGGTTCCGACACGCCCGGTGTCGGAAGGTTTCTCAAAGATGGAAGGGACCGATGAGTGAACGAGAATGAGATGGAAGATGGTAAAGAAGAAAGGAGAGAATCAGGAAGAGCAGTTGGAGGGCGAGTAAAGAGTGGTAGGTAGGTAGGTAGATAGGTAGGTAGGTAGGAAGGTAGTAGTAATAGTAGTAGTAGTA